ATGGCGTCACATGAGGGTATCAGGGGTGAAACAGTACACTCTGTTATATCCATGGTATTGCTCATGTCTATAGGCGACGGTTACCTCTTCCCATTAGGTGATCCATCAGCTTGTTTGTCATTTTAAGTTGCATTAAATAAATACTTAGGATCCATATTATTAAAAATATCGCATATATCTAGAGAATTTATTATTTTAGAACAAGATTTCTTTTAAAGCATGAACTACCTGATTAAGTGACAATCAGAGTTCATGTATGTTTGTACAACCTTGGTGTTTACGGCGTTCATAAGTTCCGGTAACTGTTTATCATTAGACAGGCCGTATGCTTGTAAGCTTCTGTTGTGGTATAATAAAAAAAATTTTTAGTAGCAATATTTTATACAGTAATAGTTTTTGTTTCTGTAGATAGTTACAAAAAGAGGCATAGACCAGAATAAATAAACGGTATTGTTTAACAGCTGTTTTGTATACGAGTAATATAACAGTCGTCATGTTGGGTTAATAATTTTTGGCAAAATATGATAAGAAAAAATTTCAACAGACTTATTCTTAATCCATCTAAGCTTAGTCGTGAGAAGTTATTTTACATACCTTCCATAGTGTAATTTAGGTTATCAGTTTGAGGAGGTAATTAATTTGAAAATTGGGTAATTGCAAGCATTGGGAGTAAACAACGTTAAGCTATAAATATAAAGACCTGCGCAGACATTTTGCACAGACAATTTTTATATATAATATGAAATTTATGTCTAATATGATCGCATAAAAATGTATTCCTAGGATTTGTACCCAGACTTAACAGTCTATATAGATTAGACACCTATGTTTGTTTGAAATTAAATTTTAGTCGCGTACAAAATGATATCAAACGTACTTATTGTTAACACGAGAAAGCTCAGTTTTGCAGAAAACTATGGTTGCAATATAGATGGGTCATTATATCTAGAATGACGACAACTATAGAGGAATTATAGATTGCGAAACAAACTAAAGTTGCATTGGGTCAATTGGGCAAATTGCAATAATTTGGATTCAACAAAGCTCGAAGAACTAAAAAAGAAAGGAAGAATAATTATTTGTTATAAGATATAATAGATAAGAGTCTTTAAAGAACCAATTTATTAACTATATAACAAATCTATATGATAAGAACGCTAAATTAGTTGATTTAGTCTTTAATTTTATATTTCACAAACGATAAGTAAAGTAAAGCGTTCGACCCACGAAGTGGCAAACTCAAACAAATGTAGTAACTTTTCTAAATGGACCCCAAGTCTAGATTGTTCTTTGTCATAAAACACACTGGTGGTCTAATCTAGTGTAAATTTAGGCACTTCGGTGAACTATATAACAGAAAACTACTGCTGTAAAGCTTGCTAGAATAGTACATTGCGCATTTATTTTAGGTGATTTTAGAGATACAACGATGAGAAATATTTAATTAATCATTGACTGAATACTAAAGAGATGTACATAATACATTTGTGATTGATAAAAGCAGTATATTTAAGTAACCGAAAGGTTTGCATAGAAGTCGCGCTATTGTATTAGGTAGTGGTAAAATGCATATTGAATTTGTTGGTCGTGGTAGAGAGCAGTGGTCCGACCAAATTCCTGAACGCTTTCTCTGGCTGTGTCGCACGCATGCCATTGCCGCGGCCACTGCGGCCGCATCGCACGCAGCGCAACGAAAGTGAGCGCCGACGCGGCGCGCGCCTTCGCTGTCATCGTGTTGCATAATTATCCACGATCCAACCATTGTTTGTAAACAGTCCACAGGCAAGAAACATCATTGAACAAATTGCGTGATAGTATTTTGATTAGATATGCACAGAAGCAATCGTAATTTGCATCACAAAATACTATTCAATTTGGATATTTTTTAACACCTAACGTTTTGCATATATGTAAATCCAGCTTGATTTCCATTGCTAGTAATACTTTAAGTACTTTTAGCACGTGAAGTTCCATTTTTTTATAATGAACAGGAAGGTTTTATTGATGTTTATAGTTAATATTAATTCCGGGTTTGATTAGAGACAGTTATATACGTATAGTTCCTTCGGACATGATCGCAAAACGGATATTTCTACTGAGGGATGCAAACCGGATGGATTTACATTGTGGATCGGCGAAATTCGTGCGGGAAGCGTTTCACGTCAGCAGTTCTTGCGTTACAGAAAGCTTGGTTTTCCCATCGAGGCATAACTCCATTGTTGAGTTGTTTTAGAGAAAGGTTTTAATAGTGTATAATTGTCTCCGAGGTTAAAATGTAGATGTAACTGTTTCCGAGATTAGACGTGAACTTAATTTTTTTTTATTTGGACGATTATTAGCACCCGGATGTGCTGGTTGAGTGCACAGTAAGCAGCAAAAAATGTTAAAACAATTGCCTTGACGGCCATATTCCGGCAGTGGTCATCGAGGAATCGCGCTCAAATTGTCAAAGAAACTTTATCGCGAAACCAGTTGAACACAACAATAGCGTCTTTGTGTCTCATTTAGAGAGGAAGGTCCGCTTCACTAAACTCGTTTATGATATAAGACATATCTACTGTAAAGTTACATAGATAATACAGTATAAGATTCAGGCTGGTGGTTTCATACATTTTCATATTAACCTTCTAACGGATATGAAAAACTATATAATATATTCAGCAAATATAAATATTGCACAATAATTTCAATCATTGTCAAATAACATCAACTATATAGACAGTTAAATAAAAAATGTCAGCTACATTACAATAAAACATTATATCTGCCATGAATAGGATGACTATTAAGCATTGCGAGCTGGATTATGGAATGCGACCCGCCTACAACTCGCCTCACCGCGCCGGCCGTTGTGGACATCGTAGCACGGAAGCATTAGTATAATTCTAATCATACTTACGGGCATTAACAAATTATTTAACTATTTTAGCTTACAATCCATTGAATGTTTATAATTCTGTTTATAAATACATTATACTGTTTGTAACACAGATTTTAGATATAGGTTTGAAAATACAATAGTAACTATCCTACAAAACCGTAACCATCCATCGCTTGTACGGTGAATTACAATAAAAAGATGAATTAGATACAATTTCTCAGCAGTGAAATTATATTAGATGAAATCTGTGGTATTATTGTTTAACTCAATAAATAGTGTTAAATAACAAATTAATTAGATTTAACAAGATTTCAATGAAGGTCTTGTTTTCCTTAATTAGGTATATTTAGTTATTTGTATGTAATGAAAGCTTTTAAAGCAATAATAGCTTTATGATTAAACATATATGATAATAGTAAGCTATTATGTAATTAATTTAAATTCAAACTAATTTCAATGGCAAAATTACTTTGATTTTAAAATTAACTTTCTAAACTACTGAACCGATTTTGATAAAATTTCTATGTGACTAATTTATATGTAACTATATCCTTCCAGATATAAAAATAATTTCCCAAATCGGTCTGTGACTGATAGAGTTATATAACATAAAAAAGTACAAAATAGTGTAATTATTAATTTACTGAAATATAAAAAAAATATTATATATAATATTTCAATTTTACTAAAACTTCTATGAAAAAAATAAATGTATGCCATATGTATCGATTTTAATCTTTTATTCACTTGTTCATGACTAGACACATTTATTACATATACGTTTAATCGGTTACTTTATTATCTTTTTATCTCAATATTCCTACAAGGTATCATCTGTTACAATACTACTTATTTTCAGTTCTTTACTACGGCGTGGAATCTTGAAAGCTAATCTAGACTTCAAGACAAAAAGTTAGAAGTATTTTGAAAAGTGGATGTAGAGAAGGATGCTGAAAATATCATGGATGGATTGAGTAAAAAATGAAATTGGTTTTGCAGAGGGAAAACAAAAGCTTAGAACAAATAAAGACCATTACAATAAGAAAATCCAATACTTAGGTTACATAATGTGAGAGTTACAAATAAACTTTAGTGCAATTATAAATTATTATTAGGGAAGATAAAGTGCCGCAGTATATTTGGCCGAAGATACATTTCTTGTCTCAAAAATCGAAGTATGAGGATAAGACAAATCCTGTAAGATTGATTTAATATAGGTAGCTTCCTATCAATGTCCAATCATATCCTCTGTCTCGATAAGTAGTTTGTAGTTTTTAAACGTGAATCCAGTTTAATTATATTTGAATCTTGCTTTCAATAAAACCGTTATTTAGAATTACTGCGAAATCTAATAATGTTCGCATAATTCACGTGTATAACTCTAGTCTGTATGTGTAATGCTAACTGAATTTATTTCCTTTATAACGTCAGGAATTTCCTCAATACTCATTAAGTAAACATACCTAGGTAACTCGATAAGAATTTTCGAACTCGAACGGTAAAAACATTAATATAATATTCCTGTATTGAAGTGTAAACAAATTTTGGCTCCAATTTCAAGTATTAAGGAAAATTTTGATGATTACTTTTCTGTTTTTACCTATCTCGAATTATTATAATTATTTATTAGACATTTTCATTCATTAAGTATCCTGTGACCCTATGATCCTTTTCGAATGGAGATATATTAATTATCATTTTATATGCATATTCATATTGCTTTAACCACTGTAGGCGTAGGTTATTGTAATCATTGAATTCCAATCAACTTTTTTTAACAAACGTGTGGGTTTATATTTGGATGGAACGTAAACTTTGCTGTGCTTTCCACGATTACGAATACCTACCAGGCAATTAGTTGTGATACAGCTGAAATAATTTCTAATGGAATAGGTAAGGTTATATGTTTATATTATATGAATAGAATATATCAAGTATTGCTTTATTCTTCCTTTATTCAATAATGCAACGTTTACTTATTGCTCGATTTGCCCACTGGTTGACACGTGACAATTGACAGGTGACAAGTGTAAAATGTAAAGAAAAGATTATACGATATGATTTACTATATCTTTGCCATTAGTTTCAAATAAAATTATTTATATAAAAAAATACTTACCAAAGCTATCGGAATCACTGGCGGGGTAAGCTGGACACGGCTGCACCATTGTGGCGGCCCTTGATAGCACGTCCAGGGCTGATTCCACCTTCTCCATTATATCCTAAATAATAAAAGTTTTATATATTTTATAAATAAATTTAAAATATATATTTTAATGTATAAAGTAATTAATACATTTTAGTGAAAATTATAGTAAAGAGTTTACCGTGTTTACACCCTGCGGAGAAATATATAATTCTAGCAAAAATTTTACCTTAAAAATTTTAAAAGCAACACACGTAAAATTTTTGCTAGAATAGATAGAAACAGATTATAAAATTTTATTGTTTAGCTGTAATTTATGCAGTTATGCAGCTATATTCCGGGATATGAACTATCGAAGTTAAGAAACCATGTACTATAGATTTCCGTGAAACGTAAGTGGGTATATAACGTATTTATTGCATAGCACTTCGTAAACACAGATATAGTTATGAGTATAATTATGATTTATGATAACAACTATGTCATTCGTAGTGAATATAAGTTATTAATTTATTTCTGTAGGTAGGTACGTGTATAAGTATATGAATATTCTACCCGTGACAATAAATTTTAAAAGATGCTATTACAAAGACCGCGCTGAAATTTGCATGCGTCAAAGGAATTCATGTCTGGCCGTAAAAATATTTGGCTCGCTGGATGAAATGTCTCGGACTAAAAGCAATAAGGCATGGCATGCAAATACCGATTCGGCGGAAATTCCTCATATCACATTAACGGCTAGACGGTGAACAGACGTGCGCCAAGTCGCGCGAACACCACGTAAATAAGCCAGGAGTAAGATGATCAGACAAAGAGTTGTGAAACGTGGCCGTCAGGCGCATACCGGGAGTGCTCGGGAACTCAGCCAATGGACAACTATATCGGAGATCAGACATGTAATTTGAATGATGAAAACAGTATCTCTTAGTAGAAAATATGAATTGTCAACAGATTTAGTGATGCTTCATCTAGAACGAATAAAATCAATAGTAATATTGGCAGCCTTGGTTATTTTGAAATAAATTTGATTTTTAATAAAAAAAAATTGTACGAATTGGAATAGTAAAAATTGATCAATTAAATGATAGATAGCGGTAACCATCGCCTATACAGGCTGAAATCAAAATAATTTACATTTTCCTTTTAAGAAAGAGTTCTATACCAGTGGAACTGAACATTTTTTTCCAAAGAAAAATGGGCTGAAAACGGACAAAAAATGTTCAACTTCTATTCTAACATATTAAGCTAGTATGAAAGGCTTTAATAGAAGTCTAATAATTTCGATTTTACTCCGTAGATCATCAAAAACACCGTTAATGCCTATAGTATCTTTTAAACATTTTTACTATTACTAATTTTCATTCTTGAAATCAAAACAGCATAGTTGATTGGTGACAGAAATATGAATAAGATATAGGTACCCAAGCAGATGGCTTTGTAGTAAAAGGTTACATAGGTACAGAGGGCCTACCATGAAATGTTTTCCGAAATTTCGGAGCCAAACGAAACACAAATTTGATGTTAAAATAACATAATACATGCCGTTTGGAAATATTAAAAATGTTAAAATATTGTTCCTTTGGACTTTTATGATAGGATGTATAACGAACGAAATGTTAAACTCCATTTATTGGTCCGATTTTGGTATAAACAAAAACACGAAATTGAGTACGAAATTTCGGAATTTCATTTCATGGTAGACACGCAGATTATCACAATATCTTTTATAATCCTACGATTAGCGAAGATATTGCGTAATATAAACTCAAAAAACATTCGAATTGTAAACCTTATTCTTTTTAAAGTAGTCGAAAAAAAGAAAGAAATAAAATTGTAAAATTCTGATATTTTATCGCCAGTGATACACACATACACGTGGCATAAGTACACAAACGACACTGTAGTCAAATAAGTTTTTGGACATCGAATGTTTAGCGTAGAGGGTCCAATGCAACACAGTCCTTATCTATGTAAAATTCGAGTTGACTTCCAACCATCCTTTAAGAGATTAAAGTAAAAATTAAACCTTTGAAAATGCCCTAAATGGCAAAATTATAAATCTTTTTTTGTGAAAAAGTAATTTCTAATAATATATGTTTTAGAGTCGAATTTGTCTAAATACGTTTTGCTAATATACTTATTGGATAACACAGACCAAATATTGTGTTAATAATAAATGTAATTTGCATAGTTAAATCGGTATCCCAGGCGAAATATTTCTGTGACGGCCGCCAATACAAACACAACAATGTTATTGCTTAATTAACGAAAATATGTGTGTCGATCTTTGGTATTCGAATAGATAAAACGCAAGCATTAACTAATGATTAATGATACAAAAATATAGAATGCGATTATTTACATTCCAAGCATAGCTGACAAATTTCATAAACGAATCTAGCTGATGAATCTAAATGAGTATAATGGACGTGAAATTCCTGGAATGTGAAGACATAATGGCATTACTTTCAAATGCCGAGACATGATTCTAGTTGTTTTCTCACGCAAGTTTAGAGGTGTGGAAAAAGGGAATGGTAAACAAAACATGGGTATGACGAGTGATGCGATGACTGGGTATACTAATGATGAGGAATTTGGTACATTAACCACAATAGAATTTTTCTGGCCGGAGGCGGAGTCACGAGCACAAGCGGAGACGTTGCGCCCGTCCCTACGTACTGAATAGATCATTTGACACATAGTTGGACGGTCACGAACCACTTCAATGGAATATTTATTGTTAATCATGGAAGTTGACACTTTAGAGGTAACAATAGAGTTGATGTATGATGAATATGATATGTTTGATCCTCTTTACACTTAATTAGTATCTAATATACATGTCAGGATGTTGTCATCACAATATTTTTTGAATTATCATAAATTATTCTATCACAGTCTATTTTTTAGTTTCGTTTTACTGTTCTATACCAAACGAGTACAAATAATCCTTATAATGCGATTTAGTTTGTCCGTTTGTTTGTTATACTTTAATGTCAAGAAAACAGTGCTATAAAGATAAAAGTTGGAGTAGCTAAAATATTGTTAACTCACTTTTATGTTTATGGCAAAAGAAATAATAAAAAAAAGGTTAAGTGCGAGTCGGACTTGTGCAACGAGAGTTCCGTACAAAATCTCTCAACTTTAATTTATTTGTGAAAAAAAAATGGTACATACCACTACAAGGATAGTCCAATGCGAACTGTAGAATATACCAAATCTTGTTTTCTATTGCGTTTTTTATAAAATCACAGGATTAGAAGTAATTACAAGATAATCGGAATATATTTTATATATTGTAGGCAACTAATTATATGAAATTGTTATCACCTGCTAGTCTCCAAACGAAAACCACATGGTGGTCGAGCCTTGACATTCCGTGTGTTAAAAATAATAATCTATTTTAGTTTATACATGAAAAGTTTTAAAAATAATCCCTATGTCCAACGTGTAAGGTTAAAATTGGAGAAGTGGTGATATCTTTTGTCGTTGGGATGCCCGCATTTGGGGTGCGCGTGTATTCTTTTACGACGGTCGCTACCCCTGCTGTGCGCGTGCGCACGTGGCCTTCGAGGGGTCGTCTGCGAGGGAACGTAATCGGCAGATGTTTCATGTAATGTAGGGTTACACGAATTCTCTCCTACTTTTGTATACCTACTTCGAGAATGAAGATATCTACTATAAATACTTAGTGTATTAACTGATTTTTCGTTCTTGTTTACACAACATGTTATTTTGCTAAAGTCTAATACAATGCATACTTAGTATATGTAAGTGTACTTTATATGTTTTCCATCTACTTATTTTTTTGTATATGTAAAACAATGGTATATAAATAGCAATATACAGTGTTATTTTTATTTTACTTGTGAAATATATATATACGCACTTACGCAAAAAGGAAATAATAACATAACAAAATGTTAAAAATATAATCTAATCTATCTTAACCAATAATCATCTATTTATTAAATTATTATTAAGAGAACACTAAGAGTAATGTAATTATGGTTAGGTATTTTATGCGGTGATAAATTGTCATTAAGATTACACCTGTGCCTAGTTTTATTGGTATTTTAGTATTGAATACGTAAATACTTTAGATTTTTCTCCATAGATTAAAATGGTAAGATTTTAATTAAAGGTAAGATTTATATAAAATTTCAGAGATAATGCAAATTGCAGACATAAGGGAGTTTTCGCGTTGCGGATTTTGTCTACGCGTTTATTTCCTGTACGTTTTTTATTATCTTTAGAGGTAGTACCTGTGTGTGATAAAGGTAATGCGTTGATATCTAATTAATTTTAATATTAGATTGGTTGAATATGGTCACATTTCGAAAAAGGTTTTTCAAGAGAGCGATATACAGTCATAATATTAATTGTCTTATAATTATTATAAAGATTTGGTGGACCAAATACAAGACAGACCACATCTATATATTAAAAAACACATTTGATTTTATAAAGAATCTTTCAGTATTAAATTATTATTATTTTTCTTTATATTCAAGAGAAATTATGTTAATTTATTCATCAATGTTTTATTCAATTCAATTATGTACTTCTATATAAGTAAATAGTTTCAGAGTAATGTTTATACCTAGCGATAATTATACTTATTATGTACTTACAATATAGGTAATTGGGTAGATGTTAACCAGGAAAGAACATAGTATTTACCTCATTAATGTTGTTTATATAAGAATTTATATTTTAGGATTAAAGCAATATAGCGTTTTACCTGTAATATTTAAGTTGTGCCAACCGTTAACTGTCCACTGTTGAACATAGGCCTGCCTCATAACAAGAGGGGTTTTTTTAATGGATGATAATGGAATAGTATCCCTGCCTGCGCTAATGGTATACGCTGGCGGGGTACGAAGGAAGATAGGTGAAAATGAAAAGGCAGGTCTTTTTTTTAATGCATGATAATAGAATGGTAACCCCGCCTGCGCTATCGGTATACGCTGGCGGGGCACCAGTGAGAGATAATAGGTAACGATGAAAGCAGGTCAGGTAGCCCATTGTGACGAATTCCATTAGAATTAACTACGATGGTTTCCAGGAGGAACCACGTGCTGGTCGACTTAATAGGGTGTAATGCTGACAATGGGTCAGTTAGATCCCATTACTAACAATCCCATTCCCCTCTAAAAAGGCAGGTCAGTTAGCCCATCATGATGAACACACCTAGAATTCGGCACGGTGGGTTCCAGGGGGGACCACGTGGAGGTAGTCCTGACAGGGTATATTGCTAGCCATGAGACTGGTAGACCGCATTACTAACAAGCCGGTAGTTGCTATGCTTAGCAGGTGGGTTGGCAACTGCAGTTAGGTTTTGGTGTTATTTTAAAAGGGACGTTGCTGCCTATCCCTCGACAATTAAGTTCCTTAGTCGCCTCTTACGACACTGAATGGAAAGGAAGCGTTGGCCCATTCTACGCTGCATGGCATAGAAATATATTTAGAGAATTGTATGGGCTGCGGCTCTATCTAGTTCTATTGTATTTAATAACTACTATTAAATAATTCTTACTGCTAGATCTAGGCAACAGCGTAGTTATATATATATATACCTATACATGTAAGACATATACACAAAAAATAGTAAATAAAACTTATGTTTACGATTATAATCTAAAATAGTCACAGGTATTTTATCAACTGTTGCCGTTATAGTCAATGTAACACTCAACATGCCCATATTTCGCCGACAAGCCTACCGATGTCATTTGGTTTGATTTGTTATAGGCGTTAACCATTATCAGAAAGTTATACACGAATAAATTAATAAATTAATTTCAAGAAATTAATAAAAATGCATGTTTATACAGAAAGAGCGCAGTGTATAATCGACAACTCGATTGAACGGAAACTGTACGGGGTCACATTGGCTAATCGGGCGAAGTTTTATCGTTCTCTTATCGCATTGTACAGACGCTGTGTGTGAATAAAGCGTTCGTACATTACATATCACTCGCATTCCACTCTATTATATTCGCGAAATTCCAATCCATGCCGCTTCACAGACCTTTTTCATCGTATAGCGGCGAAATGTTTTTTGCGAGGCGCGTTCTCAAATAAAACCGGTAGGTAACTTGTATGTACTTATTACATAGCATTGAAATCTTAAGGTACGCTAATAATGCAGCCGTTGAGATATGCTGTGTATAATTTTTTAGATAATATATATTAAAAAAATTTAGGTAATTAATCAAATTGATAGTCAGCTGATAAGGAATGTGTGTTGCACATGGGGGTTATTGATACTATGTTTATACTTATTTTGGATACTGATATCCTAAAACTAAAATGTTGCATAGTAGTACCAAATAGAAAAATATGAAGAAAAAATTAACACTTACGTTGTTTGTTATTCCCAGGAAGTTTTGCAAATTGATTTAATTCACACTATTTAAACCGTTTTACTTTTAATAATTATTATGTTTTACGTCTTTCTGTTTATATCCACAAACTAGTAAAATTTTTATGTTGCTGAAAATTCGTAACAATTGTTTAAACCGGTGAAGAATGAAAATCAATATACTTAGTTTAACTACTGGAACTGCAATAACTCAAGCCACATATATCAGAACAACACGATACGCTACTCGTTTTTGCACCACGAAAAAATGTACTAACTTCTATAGTTTTTATACATTGTCTGTCAAATACGTTATTATATTTGTTATTATTTCATAAGATCCAACTATCGCGCCACGAGTCTATTGACGAAATAGTCGCGTTTGACATTTGAGCCGAGCCCACTGCGATTGGAATCCACGGAATGTCAAATATTTTCAGTGCTGCCATCTGTGTATTGGAATGTCAATTCATTCGAAGGCAGCACACTGGAGTGTTAGCGGTTAGCCTCTTTTACACTATAATTACTTTATTTTGTGATTTTTAGTTTTTTAAAAATCACTTTATGAAATTTTATTTACGAATAAATGCATTTTGATCGAAGCTTTATTAAATTATGCAGTAATTTAAGGCATACGAAAATATAAGCACACGTTTGCGAATATATTGGAATGCGTCCAGTTTTATGCCGCCTTTCGGAGACGTCACCGGCGCAGGCGTGATGGTTGGTAGGCCGCGCTGCTACAGGGTTATCGACACACCGTGGAAGCGGCAAGCAGTGGCTAGGGTCGGCACCACGCCACGCTCGCCTGCCATTCTGCGCACGAAGCGTAGCGCAACTTCAACTGTTTCGGTTCGATACTTACGTTAGAATTTTATTATGTAATTATATTTTTTTTTATTACACTTAATTATTAAAGATGATCTTGTGATGGACTTCCACCTTTTTACATTTCTCTTCCCATTGTTTTCCTTGATATTAAAATTTTAAAAGTGTAGGTAGTTAGCAATTAAACTGTTATCTAAGTAATTCTCTTTAGAAAATAAATTGTTGTAGGTTCCCAGTTTGTCTGTACTTGTATATTCTTTGTATTTATCTGTGATATTGCACATAATATCAATATACAAAATGTTCCAACTTCTAAGTAAATTATCAGGTAACGTCAAATTATTTGCTGCTGATTCATATTGATTACATTAAAAAGGCTTGCTAAATTCTAATAATCGATATAGGGACGTTTTACTTTATTTATAATAGGTAACTAGTAATTCTTAAAGTGGGTTTAGTGAAAAATCTACGTTAGTATTTTACCAATATTATAAATTTGAAAGTGTGTTTGTTTGTATGTTTGTTATCTTATAGAGCCTTAACGACTTAACCAATCACCATGAAATTGGGTATACACGTACCACATGAGATGAAGAAGCATATAGGCTACATTTTTTCTCGACCAGTAAACATACTGTGGTCACGCGGTCGAAGTCGCGGGTATAAGTTAGTATTGTAATAATTGTTTTGATACTTGCGGATTTTCAGCAATGAAAGATTTGCCTTTCTGCTATTGTCTATGTAGATATTTTAATTTATATATTAGATAATTCGTTTAAAATAAATAGATATGATGAGGTAAATTCCCGGATATTCTACTGTACTTTTTTAAACTTATAAATAAATAAGTAATATAATTGAGTAACAAAAATAGTCTAATAAAGCTGTGTCACGGTTAGTTAAATATTGTATAGAAGTCTTAAGGCAAATCTTTGAATTATTTGTTGAAAAAATTATATCCACGCGAACTTTTACTTTACTAATATTAATTCAAATAACAATTAACTTCAATTTTTATATAATTAGAACGGGTACAGAAAAAGTTAGGTAAAGTTACTTAAAAAAAGGAAAAGCAAATTTTTAATCAAGAAATCCATCATTAAAATCAGCTCATAAATAGTAAAAATGTTGCGTATCTTTGAATTCCGTAGTGTGTTACTTTTTTCAAGAATGTTGAAAAATATTATTTTAGATATGGGTTTTTAAGTAGTTAATCTGTTTATAATTACATAACTATATATTTTATACCTTAATGATTATGATTATCAATGCTAGTAACGCCATCTGTTTAAATACGTCTCAAAGTTGCAGCTTTAAAACTTTAATGTCGTTTGGTAAGCAAGTTGTTTAGTAAAATTGAACTCTATATGGCAGAGGTCGCTGTGTTTAGATATATCGATGGGAAAATTAGGTACTATGATTAAAAGGAAATATCAAATAATGACACAATTTATTTTATTCTAACACAACATTTTTAAACATTGAAAATAAATTAACGCATCATTAACAAAAAATAAGCGACAATACATTTTTTTTCTAAACGAGCATTCTCTTCACGAATACTTACCTATAAATGGCAATAAGTCATTATACGTCTTTGCTATATCTAATATTTGGTGTACTTTTTAATTGGTAGCTCATTGAATAATTCGTGTTCATGATTAACATTTAATTGTGGCTTTTGTTCAGATTTAGCTAAATTGACACACTGTGCTGTTACTACCACTATGATTTTTGCAGCACCTAGATAGTGGAGAGTGTACTGAAATTATATCACTGTACTAAGGTACTTAGAATATGTAGGTTGTATAGAATTATAGCGACCGTTCATTAGTAAACATTAATTTATAAACAATACAGAGTTGTAAGAAATAAAATCTTATTTAGGAGACAGAAGGAAGATCTATATAATATTTCTTGTGTTTAATTCAGTTTTTTTTTAGGTATTTGTGTTTCCCCATTTTCCCCTATTATAAAGGACATAAATTATTATAAAGCTATTATTTATATTTCGACAATGTATTTTAGTGAGATTAGGAACTAGTAGTCTCCGAAATGCTGTCTATAAATAAATGTTTACTGCAGAATAGAGGTATCTGTTCTCCCATACAAGCGGCTTACATATATTTGAGGAGATATGTTTTAGTTACTTTGAAAACGTATCATAACAAACAGTACATTTGTTTTCAAAGTTTTTCAGTTTTAAATTTCGGGCGCAAATTATTCTCATCAGATTTTTTTTTAATTAAAAACACAGTGTCATAAATTTCAAAGTCTGAAGTTAAACATCTATAGGTGTCATTTATGTAAATTCAATAATATATTTTTATCACTTTATATAATATTACTTTCTATAATAAAATATCCATTTCGATACAATAAAAACATCTCACTTGGGAATTGTTTAGCAGGTTATTCTATATCTATCACATTAACACGTAGGTCAACATTTGGTTAAATTTATACCTTATTTATTTAGCCTTTACATTAAATATAAATAAATAAGACAAATATTTTTTTACCCGACTACGGTGTGGGAAATTTATTTTGTATAAAACCCTTTCTATGCACCGTGGACAGGGGAAAAAACTAGAATTATTGTTGTTCTTTTAATTTTGGTACAAAATGTATCTAAACATAATAAGATTTATATTCTGTATCAATGTTAATCGAATAGGTATTACAATTTATTTTCAATATTCTCTATTTTGACGCAAAATATATATAACAATATATCTTAAAGTAAAATTGCAATCAAATATCTATACAAACATATAAGGTAGTCTGACCAAGAAAATAATGATTGTATATAAAATTTTCAGATAAATAATAAGTCAATAACAACCAACCACTGCTTTATTATAATTTCATTTCGATATATCTGATGTTTCCTATTCTTTTGAGAATTTTGAGAAATTCTTCCTCATTATAATACTTATTCAAACTATAAAAAAGGTTTTTCAAGATTAAAGGTTTAAGAGTTGCGTTAACAAACGAGTCTTTTTATTATCAAGATACAAAATTAAATAGGCGTATCTAGTTTCTTGATCAGGCTACATAGCACCTCCTTATATCCAGCATAGTTCGTACATATGGATTCTTTTCGTATTAATCTGCAGGTATTTATAAATATATAAGATAGATAATAGTTAAAATCGGCAAAAGAAATAAATTTTATTAAGTATAAAGTCACTTGTACCATAAAGTGTCTAAGAATAGATAATAAATAATATTTTTTTCAATTTTAAATTTTGTAAAAACAATGTGACACTTGTTAGGTATTTGTATTGATAACGTTCTTATATTATATAGGATAAAAACAAAGTTGCCAGCAATATAATAGGTAAAATTAAAAAAATCTACCCATGGCTCTAGAATATATTAAGATAGGTCAGAATTTTGTGAGTTATAAATTAAAAAAGGTAGGTCATAAGTAACGGCATCATACTAATTTAATAGCTAGGCGCAGCCAATAGACCCATGTTCCTTTGGGAAAATTAATAATAATGATTTGATTTTACCCTGTATATGAATTTGGAACGGTACAAATGAGATTACACTTAACGTGAACCATGACCAATAAATACATAACATTAGTTAAAAAACCTGTATTCAATAGAAATAAATTAATTTGTTTAACTATTAATTGTCAGTGAACGTAGCCACTTTTAGACACTTATCCCCTTATTCATAAAAATATAAAAACTCCTACAAACCTATTTTAATTGTTAGACTATTTTGTCACTGTCCATCAAACTGGCAATTCAAGCAAAAGAAAAAGAAAAAACATTTCAATAGTTAAAATAGGTCTATGTGACGTTCGGTGTGTTTATGAATAAGGGGGTTAGTATCCGTTCACACAGATTAGCTTTGAGACGAAAGTAGATTTTTATCGAGTTCAAAATAGAGCTCTCGTGCATTTTCATATAGAAGAAAATCTGTTTGAACAATTGTTTTTCAAATGCAAAATTTAGTATACATCTAACAAAAGGAGTGAGATGTGACAAAATATTTTACTTCGATAATCTTTAAACTCTATTTTAAATGCGATTATAATCTGCTCTCTTTTCCTAGGCTCTCCTAGGCGGTCTGTATGAACGGGCACAATACCTACTCAGTACCTAACCTTATTACCACGTAATAACGTGGCTGATATTAATTTTAATCTATTAAAATTATGTCTTTATAATTAACGAATAAGCTGTGCTTTCATAAAATATTTTTTTACTAGTAGAATACATATATCTAATGTCCTTCCTGTAGCTAAACTAATCATACACTTTGCATTCATTTGTAGATGTCTAAAGTACTTTTTATACAGGAATATATTGTTTTAATATATATTAGAGATAATTTCACATGACTATATGTAGAACTCATGATATTAAAATATAAACTATTAATAAATTTTCGAAAAATCAATATAATTTTTACAAAGATATAAATATATCTATATACTTCTTATATGTAGGTGTTCTTACTTACATTTACGAGTTCAAGAAAAAAAAAACGATAAGCAAAATCTACATTAGATTAAAGAATTTTTAATGTAGAGTGACAACATTTACATGATCTTGGTCGTCTCAGTTTTTGGATGTAACCTTAGACTAAATATGACTAAATAGTTATTTACGTATCGTCGCATCGTATACTGCGCTAGCAGTAGAGTAATCAATAATTAAATAGTGTAATTTTGTAAATATTTTCTTTTAAATAAAGAAATATATTAGTTTCATATTAATGCATCTAATCATTTTTTTTTATTTTTAAGCTAAAATTTTATGTTGAAAAAGGTAACGAAACATATTAATAGCTGAAATAAATTTATCGGGGTTTTAAATATTTTTATATTTACTATTTATGTATGATCGATATGAGATTATAATCAAATATTTTAGACATCTACATCACGCTATCCTTACTAAATAACCCATTTACTACTAAGAATTCACTTATGGGACAGAATTCATTCAACTTAACAATTTTTTATGTAACTATAGTTTCATATTGTAAAGCATACCTATCTACCTTACAACAAATTCTATGAATTATTATGTTAGGTAGGTAGGTATATATCTAGTAATAAAGCATTCGTCGTCATAAGAAGTAATAAAACGCACCTCATAAAATAATGACACATTTGCAAAACATCACATTTTAAATATAGATATGAAATGTTAATAAAACATTTTAAACCAAACAAACTGTAAATTGAAAATGGATAAGCTAATAAGAGAGAAAGATAGGGAGGAGTACTGGTTAAATGTCATTGTAGCTTGTTCTAAATTTGCAAGCCTTGTAATTCTTCTTTAATTGAAAATTGTTTTTTTTTTTTTTTTAAGTATATAGTAAGCCAAAAAGACTTGTAGTTCATAAAATCATAATGAACTTTTCCCTATCTATCCCGTAAAAATTTTAAACACCATAGTTGAGTTGTAGTACTAATGACCCAAAAACCAAACCAAGTATCTGCTTAAAATATTTTTGTTAAGTTATAAAATTATAGTTGTGCCATTATTGTACTAGGTGTGTATTGCTACAGTTTCTCAATATATTTTATTGAAAATGTAAGCAAATTTTGATGATTTTATCGCAAAAACATTCCGCTTTGATGAACAACTGAAACATCCAATCAATTAATTTTTTTTCCTGGACATCAGCCGACTGTCATATATTCGAATTAATACGAGTAATTCCTTTGTTTACATTTTCATTAAATTTTATCGAAACAGATTATAATTATATTCTCACTGATTATGCTATTGTTGGGAATACACACTCACACCCATTTATACCTCCACGTTAAATGTGCAGTGGTGTTATTATACCAAAATTTGATTTTTCTCTAATTACTCTTGTATAGATACCATAATAATATAGATATATTAATAATATAATATTTAATTATAACTTCATTGCAATATTCTCGTAATATAGTACTTAAAACTCCAAGGGGACGGTTTAATGTATTAACTTAAATACGGGTAGGTATATTAATTTAGGAATGTAACTTGGTACTTACTAAGTATATAAATAGGTTTATTATATCATAGAGAAATCTAAATTTGAAATAAGTACCTTATAAATGAAATAAATTTATCAAATTTAATTATGGTGAATTTTTATGACGAATGTTTAAATCTGATACACAATGAAAACTAAACATGTGAAATACTAAATTTAAATTGTATTAATAAATTAGACTTATTTAATATACGCGTCTAAATTTATATTTGGATGGTTACTAAATCTACTTAAAAATGGCACGGTATTACTTTATATACTGTGTTCATTCTTTAGATATCGAAAGTAAAGAAACAAAGGAAACTAATTTATTACAAATTAATGTAAGAAACAATTATTAGAAAATCGAATATATTTATATTTCGGCACATTTATTATCATATAGCCATATTATTTATAGGTAGATAGGTTAACTTATTGTTATTGGAATATTAATATTTGAAATATCATTAGGTATTATACTGTAAATAAACTGATAAAAACAATATTTTTATTTAATTGGGAGACGTGTATGATGTATACGTATGTTATATGTATATCTGTATTTGATTTTCAATAGTTATATTAACGTATTAATTCAGATATATCATAATATAAATTAATATGTTTACATAACTTATAAATAGATAAGGTACCCTATCTATACCTGGATGACATTTCAATAACTGTAGAATTTAAATATAACTGCTGTATTATAATAAGCAACATAGATTGCAATAAAAATTATTACCCTTAATAAAGTTATGTTACCATTAAATTAACAAATATATTAAAAATGATATGTCGCGAAGTTTTTATGTATTATATACTTTTGGACTTATATATAATAATAAATATAATATAATTTTGTATAACAATAGGATACATTTAATTCAAGAAATCTTAAAAGGCTATATAAAACGTAGGCCGCTGAACTTCAAAATTCGATATTCAAAAGGGATACAAAATATTGACATCTAAATTAATAATATTGATTATCCATAATAAATTCTTGAAGCTTGAAAATAAATTTATAAAAAAAATTGCCTGACGAATAACAGAGGGCGATCGCAAGACATCAGTGGCCGAGACGCGTTCTCGTATTCTTCTTGAGCCACTCCTGCGCATGGCATCATCCTTAGAGGCCTTGTTGACGATGAGGCCCCGCATCTCCTGCATTGCGTACGTCGGACACCTAGAGGTCTTCTCCACCACCACAACCCTTCTGGTGGTTCTTCATAACCTTTATCAGTTGGTTCGTATCCTTTTGACCATGCTTTATCAGAAAAAGTAGATATCTCACTTTCGCAAGGCGTGACCGGAGCGCTACGTGTTGATTTTGGTTTATATAGCCGTCTGCTCTCTTCTGATAATGACCCGCGTTTCTGAAATTGTTTTTCGTATATTAATTCTTAGGCATGTTTATAAAAACACAAACACACACAAAACATATTAATTATTTTCTTGGGTATTTCCAAAAAGTATTTTATAATTATTTAATATTTTAATTCGTTACAAATAGCTCTTTTTATATAAAACAATACAACAATAAATTAAAGTTTTATAATACATTTCTGTATTATATAAAAAAATATATGAGTAATATTTCAGACTTCATCCCATCTAACGAAAAGCTCCAGTAATTTTGGCTGTGCATTGATTGATTTGTTTTTACTATTGAAGGATCCCGCGATTAATCACGACCTCAGCTGACGGAAAGTGATGATGTGGTCTAAGATGCACCTCGAGAGCCCAAGAATAGGCTATTCACATTTGCCTTAAATTGGTGCAGATTATATTTGGATGGAAAAGTATAAGCAAGGAGAGAGTTCCATTCCTTGGCCGTATGCATGATGAAGAAAGACGCAAAACGTTTCGTAAATAGTATGTCTACAACATAAGGGTAGATGTTCTCGCACCATCTGGTCGTCCGATGCCAAAAGGGTGAAAAAGAAATCAGATCATGCAGTTCTTGAGCACACTCTAAAATGTATCCTGCAGAAATCGGCGAGTCGCGTAATTTTTCGGCGGTCATTTGATTTTTCAGTAAGTGTTTAACTATAATGTATATTTAAAGTCGGATGTATTACCTTCACAATATCGAAGTTAGGAAGTTTAAAGCGTCACACCTCCTGCAGGAACTTAATTGGACATACACCCTGGCGGTTATCACCTGACCGAATCATCACCATGCCGTCTACCTCATCGCCAACCTATATATAAAAATGTAACACCATAATTAGAAAAAATATTGAACATTGCATTTTTAATGTGTCATTGCTTTTGAGGGAAACCTCAAAAAAAATGAAATTGAAAAATTGCATTTTTTATGAGAGAGTTTATGTGTCTTACATACGACATAATTAGCATACTTATTGGACATCATACTCGTAGATTATACTGTACTACTTATTGCATAAATCGTGCGTCAGTATTTTTGAGAGAAAATATGCTTTTAAAAAAATGTTGCTTCCAACGTTTTTTTTTTAAATAGAAGGAAACTGTTGGTTTAGTTAATTGAATTTCATCACGATGGAATAACTGACCTGCTTTCATCGTCACCTATCATTTCTCATTGGTTCCCCACCAGTGTATACCAATAGCGCAGGCGCAGTTACTATTATAACCCATTAAAAAAAATATCTGGCCTTAATTATTATAAAGCATGGAAATTAATACTAAAATAAATAGTTATATAATGAATGGAAAAGTAGATAGGACACATTTTTATTGATTAAAATTTTATAGCCATATTAAAAATTTAATTCGTCGTATTTTGTTTTTATTTTTGTAAAATAATACTAAACAAACATTAGTTTAATTGATTATAAATGCTATTTTTTACGTTTAATTATATGAAATAATCTTACCTGAATAACGATTTGATCACGAAGAAGCATCAACCCATTGTCACCATCGGATACCTAAAAAATACATAACAAGTAGATAAGTAAGCAAATAATTAGATATTTCGCAATATATTAAATTTATAAGAGAAGATAATAAATAGTACTAATATAAATATATAAATCGCTGTAGGGTAAAATGGCTACTTTATATAAATCACGATTAGGTATAATTAATTTTGTATAAACCAGTTGATGAAACATGAAATATGTAATACATTTTCTTAAATAAAATATATATGAAATGTATTGTAATATTATTAATAATATTTGAGAATTATTTAAAAATTCGATCCACAAAAAAACAGACTTGGCAAAGTTTACACGGAACTAATAAACCATCAGAAACCGAAATAATTACAAACTAGGTTTAGAATTGGCAGGGATGTTGCGCAACATATTCGTATATAAAAATAAAGGTTATAGAATAAAGTAATACGTTATATGTTGAAGTTGTTTAAAGTGGCTATTTTAACTCCCTCGGTTCTCGATCCAGAATATAACCAATATAATCCCTTACCAGACATTCGAGATACAGCCTGCAATATGGAGACTAATCAATTAGAAAGTTTGTACCGAATATTGATTTGATCGAAAATCGAACATTGAACGTAAGAAACGTGTCCACAAGTACTATTGTACCAAACACATCGTTACTGTAAAGTCATAGAAAAAAGTAAACAAGTAGTAGATATACTCGTATAGTTATCTAAGAGGAGTATATGTCTTTTTTAGTACAGAAAAATGCGTTCAAGAATTTTTTTACTACACAGTGACTATCGCTGTCCATAACCACACGCAATACCAGAGAAATTGTAGGTGTGGTGCCGGCCTTTAAAAAGGAATATGCTCTTTGACATCGTATTGGTTCAGAAATACTGCTGTTTGGAAATTAATTCCAAAGCGTGGTTACGCGTAGAAGAAGTGCCTTGAAAAATACATGATGGGAGACCATCACTCATCCAAAGGGTTGAAATGGAATTTAGTGGCTTTATTTTGTGGCGGGTTATACGATTATGTACTTTAGTAACAGATGTAAATCTTAATAATTCCTTAGAATAAAAAAAGGCATTTACTACTAATTTAGTTACTTACTTGTAAATTATGTGTAACTTGTAACGGACGTTCGCCAGCCTGCAGTTTGGTACAATATTTGGAAGGGAAGTAACCAATCTTGCCTAAACATTTGCCCTTCCACCAGTCAGGGTCTGAAGTATCGATCACTGTCACCTTGTATCCAGCTTTTAGGTCCAATTCATCAGCATGACGAGACTTGAAGTTATATAAGATCACGTAGAGATTAGTTGGTAGCAACCGTTGGTGTTTCTGAGGGAAAAAGCAAACATTTTTTTTACAAAGTTCAATATAGACAAATTATATTAAATGCTATAAGTATTTAATTCCAATTAAGTATTTTTATTAGTCAAGTTATATTTTTATAAGATTTTTTAAGTGTAATAGACGATATTTTTTATTAAATAAATCTAGAGATGCGATCATAAGGAAGTTAATTAGATTCTATATATAAATACTTACATAGTTTGTTAAAAACTTAATTTTATTCACTAATAAAATGTTAATAATATTATTTTTAGTTTTATAAAGAAAGTATGCATATATAGATAGCGGGTATTAGATTTAATCCAAACTTCAAATATTGAATTTATTGGAATAGAAGATTTTATACGAACAATAACGAAATACATGAAATATTTATTTCTGACCCGTGTTTCTATACAATCAGGCATACATATGTATCAATATAAGTGTTTGTTTGTTTGTAATATATAGCGTAGTCAGGCACGTTGCTTTGGATAAATGAGGCCTAGGGTTGGATTCTCGACCAAGCAGATTTAGGAAACGAACTTTTTGAAATTGGCTCGAATTTAGATGTACTGGGTCGCGTTCCCAAGCGCTCGTTACCTCATATCTCATACTACAAAGTATCCTAGCTTGACAATCAAATGATTGACGTAATAGTGTGGCCTTATTGTTTGTTTAAGGAGATTGAATGTAGTGCTTACGTTAGATTTATTAACCGGCGAAGGGCACGGGCTGGCACTATTGGATGATAGGCTCTTGTCAGGTTCATCAGGGAGTTCCACGCTGTTCATGCGACCTCCTCGGGTGCTCAAAAGTCTCCTGCTGTGTACCGGTGAAGACGGCGCTACGCACACCAGTACCAATGTTGTATATAGTTAATCATTTTTTTAATACTACTAAGATAGCAAACAAGCAATTAATTTATGGTCATGGGAGGATTTACAATTTGCAATGCTAATGTATTATCAAAACACATGAATATACATCAATATCGTTATTAAATCAGTGCATACAATTTTCAAGTGAGTTTGACTTTGGTATGTGCTGAGTTGTTTATATTTTATGGGTGACGTACTTGATTATGCTTGTATACTTCATATAGTAAAATAAAAATAAGTCTATTGAAACACATCATCAGGTAATAATCTCTCTCATTAATAATTTTGAATTAATAGCTTTAAACTAGTCTGTTATTTGTTATCAACTATAAGATGCAAATATCGTGACAGAAACTACGTTCAATTTAAATATCTACTCAAATAACAAATACTGCAGAATAATAATGCTACGATATACAAGAAAGTTAATAAGTTATATTTAGATTTTTGAATTTTATCAAATAGTGGAATATGAATATAATGAAAACGAAATGGGGATTGATAGAAATATTATAACTAAACAGCGGTATTTTGTTTAAAACATTATTATTAGCAGTAGATAGTATCTATATTATAGTAGATATACATATTATAGCATAATCATGTTAACGTACATGAAACTATGTATTTAGGAACTGTGTGGTTATTGATTCTATTAAAGCCATATCTCATGCAATGTGTTCTGCATTTACCTAAAAAAATATAAGAAAGCATCAATTGCATGCATCAAAAAAGAAAGAAAAAATAATATAAATTTAGTATCAGATATGCCAGAAAGTTGTGGAGAATCTTATATTTAAATGATTTTTTCCAATGTGAAATGAGTTCGAATATGTTTATTATTAGTTTACACCAATTCATAAAATTATTTCGGATGACACGGTGTAAGTCCCCACAGAACATCAAAAGACGACACAAGTAGAGTACAAAAACAGAGCCTTTTGTTGTGATCACCTTTTGAACGACGTCGAAAGCGCACCATATAAGGGAATTCACTAAACAGCACAACACGAGTAAACCTATATGCTATACACACAAGCTAAGCCAAGGGAAACCTGTAGGTGAACATCGGTGTGCTCACAACACTGCTTCACATTAATTTGTCGGAGTCCAAAGAACCGAATACTGTTGTATTATTAACATCATTCATAACTATTTGACCAAAAGCGATCAAATAGTAAGTAGACTATTGAAGCAAACCAATTAAATTAGAGATAAAATAATTAAATTAATTTAATATCATATTCATGACGCATTCAAGAATTCATATGTGAGTAGCTGACAATTTAAAAGCATGATTGCAAAGTTAGAAGCAGGTTATTTGGACCCAGGCATAAAATTTACTAGCAATTATCGTACATAGGACTCGGCTGCCCTGCGAGGGCGGTTGGTCTCGAGTAGGACGCCTTCTCAGCTCCCCACATTCCGGTGAATCCAAGGACAGGCTCTTCATTCTAAGGTTCAACTTTTGGCGTCTCGGCGAATGCGGCGCTACAACAGGTATAATCAGGATCACTTACGCCGTCCCTTGAAATTGTCTAAATCATATCCCTACTATCTTTCACAGAAACGAGTAACATATTACAATAATATTGTCAAATAGTGATAAAGGGCCCGTCACAGTAGTTTGTTTTATGTTATCGTCACCATTTCTATGTTTGTTCCCCTAACTGATGGACATGTGATGATTAATGAAATGTTTATCGGTTAAATGGGCGTAGAGTTTTATTACTCGAATACAAAAAAAATTATTATACTAATGGACTTCAAGATGTTTAAATAAAAAGTTTAGTAATTATGGTCATATTTATAGATTAAGAGCTTTTACAAAATTAAGTTAATTTTTAAATATATTTTTTAATGACAGTAATACGCATATATAAAAACATAACACATAATAATATAACGTACAGCATAATAAGTGTTATAAAAGCTCGTAAATCTTATTGTTATAGATGTACAGTTAAACACTACAAACAGGCAAAATAGTTTTCACTTCAATTACAATAAAGAAAAAAAATACACTATAGAAAAATGTGCATAAGCAATGCAAATAAGAAAAAAAACACTAAACAAAAAAATAGTAACTGTAGAAAGAACGATACCTAGTTTGAATGTGATTCAATCCTAACAGCTACAAGTTGAACTACGCCTAATGCTACTAAAGTGAAGGCTTTCCTATATAATGATATTGCAATGTTTATTTTAATATCTACTGTATTTAGTTTCTATTAATTGTCAGATGCAGCCCGTCATCAGCAGCGTTTTTGGATAACGTAACATAAAAGTGGCACCATGAATGAATTTTATGAAGAAAATTCTCATCGATGCAATGAATTTCTCAATCAACATAGAAATAAGTATTCTACAGGGATTCGCTTAGATACGGTATCTTTTGGTACCAGGTAAGGGACTGGTGCGGTCTGCCTGCCTCAACATTTGGGCACTCTTCGAGTTCTTCATTGACCCTGTGTGGACAAGTAAACAGGTACGAGTCTTTAAATGTATTAAAACTATTATACCTATATCTTCAGACCTGTCGAGTACAGAAGATCCTGTTAGTAAAAGGTGAAATAATAAAAATTGTTACGATCTTGCGAACATTGGCGACGAACTAGATAATAACGATTTTTATTTCGTAGTGTTAGTCGGTGTTAATTGCTCGAAGTGAGTATTTTAAAACGATTAGTGAATTGCTGTGAAGCTGAGACGTGAATATTGTACGAGTTAGAATTGCAGATAATAAATATAATGAATAAATCGTGTTATAATGTTATGACGGCCCAAAAACGCATGCAGTCATCAGCGCGCTGCGCTAAGCCATGCACACTTACATCTAAACGCTGGACTGTAGTAAATACGCCTTCGAATTTATTAAAGAGTAAAAAAGTGCAATCAATAGGGTAGAATCAGATAAAAAAGAAAGCTTATTTTTTACTTTTATTGTAACAGTAACAATATATATATCACAGTACGCGGGGCGCTTCGGGGTGATTATGATAAAGTCATCCGAGAGGCGGCTGTTAGGGACAGGCCAAAATGCCGCGCTGAGTCAGTGCTCTAGCCTAGATTTTAGGCTTTATGATTAAATAGTTTCATTCCCGTAAGGTGTAAATATTGCTAATCATTTTTTCTTGCGAACGCTCGCCGTGGACTTGAGAATAGATGGTGGAGGGTCACCGTTTTCATTAACGAAACATAGGGGTTGTCCGAATGGTCGCGTCGTTGTCTCCTCCGACTCTGCAAAGTAATACATAAACAAAACAAAATAAATTATAAAGAAAATAAAACACAACGTAAATAAATAAAATAAAGAAACGCATAATTGAAAGGGATAACATTATAATGTTTGTCGATTTGCCTATTTTATGAAGTATGGTATTTCCTGTGAAAGGATAGGTTAAAGCAACTAAGGTGTGTTTGCCGAGCTTCGTCTAGTTTAGTAGTCCTATGTCTAAACTAACACTGCAATCGCGAAAATAAAATTATAAACAAATATACTGAACACACAACGAAAATGAGGCACCGAAACTCAGAAAGACGGGACAAATAAAGCTTGTAATTCACAGATGTGAGACTGCATGAAAGGGCGATGGTCTACTGCAGCCGTGGGCGCGTACTTTCCGGCAGTGAAATGGACCGGTGCTGCGGAGAGCCGCGGCGTGACCGCGAGCCCCACATGGACAAACTCTTGACGCCGGCGAAGAGTCGCCGCCGCACGCCGCCGTCGGGCCGCGTCGCCCCGCCTACCGACAAGCACCGACCGACGCTCAGTACCGACCGCACCTCGCCCCCGCCCTGCGCCCGCGACTATACCAATGCGTGCAAACAACTCCACACTACTGAAAACGAGTGACCTGAGTGAAGCTGCCGATAGGCCGCCACCAGTTAACGAAATATATGAACGATCTTGTCCAATAACTCACCTAAAATGGCAATATGCTAGGGAGACAATGTGTGCGACATTTTTCAATATTCGTTAATACTGATGAAAGTCTGGTTTTGATTGATGAATTTTGCTTAAAATTTAAATGAAGATGTACTGCATCGCACACATGTTTCACTCCATTAGCAGCATAGAGTGAGATAAGGGACAAGCGCGCATATATCCGCGACCGGCAACGACCAACGGCCTACGGCGCGGCTCGAGCGGAGAAGCGAACGAGCTCGGGTGCGGCGCCACACCTGAGCTAGAGGAGACGGGCTGCGGCGCGACAGTGAGCCCGCCAGATGGGCGCGCCGGCGAGCGCGCGGGTGGCGTCTCCTCCGGTGCTGACACCCGCACTACGGGGCCCCCGCGCGATTCCCCGCCACCCGGCTTCGCGATTTCGTTGGCTCGCTTCAGAACTTGGTAGGTCTGATCCACTTCCTCCTCTGAGCATCAAAGGCGGTTAGAGTCAAACGCTATCGCCGAAACCACGAAGGTAACATGAATCTCGACAGTTGTTACTATGTAGGCGAGTCAGGCTAGGGTGTTGTTTTTGTTAGTAGTCTTGCTAATTGTTTGTTTTAAAATGCGACTTTCGTCGAAAGTTAGGTGTTATTGAATGCTCGGATCAGAATAGTGCAGATGGGTCACTCCTGGCTGGATAATACTATACCCTCATCATAGTTGCTATCGAAATCATCATCGAATTCGACCGATCCCTTGAAGGAGATCTTGGTGAGTCTTTGTCCTGGAAGCCAGCCGTCCTCCACCCCTGGACAACGTAACAGTAACTTGTTCGGCTGTGTTCAATTTAGCTGTTGCGTGTCTATGCATATGTGTAGTTTTCGCAAGCTTGATGATGACTAAGTGATTAAACTATATTTTCACCGGATTTCTACTATTGCGTGTCAAGTAAGTTGTTTTTGTTTTCAAATTTTAAAACAATAATCAACTTCATTTTCAGATTTTAATAACATAATTATTATTACTAAAAACCTAATCAATATATCGATCCTTATACATATTATAAATATTTGATTTATACATCAATGATATTCGATTTAATACAAAACTTACCATTATCTCTGAAAGCATGTTCTGTACATAAGTCATAAATAATACTAATTATCAAAAAAAGTGTCCAATATTAAATGAAAGTCAGAAATAATCAAGTTTGTTTTTAAAAGGCTTTCAAAAAATATTAAAATTACGAAATGCAACCAAAAAGGGAAATAATTTCGAGCTCACATAACTATGTGAGTCTAGATTTTCTTCAATTTGCATCTGTTTTTAATTTTCATAAATAATTACAACAAACAGACAAAAATCAAGTTTTATAATAATATAATATTATTTTATCTTCATAAAAAAATGAGCTAGGTATAAAGTTTATTACTAATTTTTTTTTTAATTCGAAAGAGAATTTTTTATTTCAGACATTCTTATAGAAGACTATGCAATATCAGCTCAGTACCTTTTGAAAGTAATATTAAGAATCTACCTTTATAAGTACCAATATAACATAGGAATGCCATGAATTATATCCAAAAAGTTTCATATTTAAGTTTAAACTTACTTTCTTCATCAAATGCGGTTTCTTGGACTCTATGTGCTTCGATTTCCGAGGTGCTCTTCTGTCGGCGAAGTAGTCGAGATTTTGTCTGACACTTTCCTACTTGAGGCATACAGTCTGTATGCACGTTCATCTTACACAGACGGCATCTTAAACCTTGACGCGTGTGTCCTAAAAATATATACTATTTTTAAACAAGACTGCTTATTTTAATATATAAAGTCCGAAAAGAGTTATCATTTCCTATTCATCTCTGAGGGTCAGACAAAAACTTTTTATGCAACTTAGAATTAAGCTGATAACTCATCTTATGGAAAGTGGTCACCATCGTCTATAGACATAAACAGTAAGATCATCATACACTATAGTCATCATAAAATACACTGTGACATTCATAATACGCTTCGTTCGCCATTCCTGAGGGCCAAGGTGTTATGTTTTTGTATCCTGTAATTTCACTGTCATATGCACAGCGATTTCACAGTACAAACATAAGTGGGGCAGAGGTATCCAAATAGACGATTTACAACGTACAAAGTCTATATAAAACTATACTACCTGGCTAACTTTATAGTACCTGGTACGTTATGTTTTCTTTAAAGAAATGAAAATGGAACGTTAATGGTGGAAACCGATCAAAATAGGCTACATCATTCTTTTATGAGAAGTTTCCCATTTGTACCCTGTAGCAATGTTGTAATTGGTAAGTTAAAACTATAAGAATAAATAATTATTTTTATGCCGAAATACAAGAACAAGTGTGTTTCTGTTTATTAAACCAGTAGTTTAATAAATAATACCGTCACTTAAATCTGCATATAAAAACATTTGCCAGTGTACTTTAGTCGTTGACCTGTAACACTTAAGCATAGGTAGTGGATTTATCGGTGTTTGGGGTTCAATGGCATCTGACAAAAGGCTTGTCGCTCGAATAAGGTGAGACGCTTCGTTGATTTTTAGTATAAAAAATTTATATAAATTCGTACAGAACGATTGTTATTCGGCAAAAACATAGAACATAAAATAGCGATGTAGCGTTAAACCTCAAAAACAAGCTGTTCGTACAAGGTACGAGGGGTTACTGTAGGTGCTGGTTGATTACGGTAAGAATTTACGGTTATATCAATATTTGTGACAATGTGCCAGGCACTGATGGTGTTAAACGTAATGATAGTAGATTTTTGGGTTGTGATTATTATCGACACGAATCTATTCTTTGAATAAAATAAATGTCTTAGGATAATGTATAAGGTAGAAGTATTGAATGTAGATTAACACAGAGAAAAAATATGTTGGGTCGTTGATGTTGACACGAATAACAAAATTAACAAGAAAACAATAAAAAAATATTAAACTTAGGTACCTCTGAGAACTTGCGAGCACACATCACAAGGGGTAATCTTTTTATATGTGTACTCCTGAAAGTTATGTGCTTCAGAATCACCGCCGGTACGCATTGCGTCTCGTGCAGCACCATTTCTCCTACAAAATAAAAACAACATTATTATTATTATTAAACATCCAAATACATATTACCAAATAAATAATTCTGGCTACTTTTATACCATTAATAACAACTAACTTCTGTTCGATAAACAATCAATTTTAAATAATACTAATAAGCAAATGTTTACACGACCTTTAGCGTACGCGCTGAGCAATTACGAGATTCAAAGCAGATTGTAGTATAGTGGGTCATTTATCACTGTGTACTCTTTACGAACTGTCACAATCAGTGGTAATACGCGTCATCGATATCGACCCATGAAGTTGAAGGTCAAGAGGAGAATACACGTCTGGGAGGTAGTCAGTAACCACCGGTAATGACCTTGTACTTTGATAATGAATCCAAATCGCTCGAATTTCGAACATTGTATACACGAGCTATGTTTTAGTAAAATGAACTATTAATGACTGCCGTTGTTGTCACAGGGTTTGGATTTTAAGCATTATTGGTTACATGAAATGTCATTTTCAATGTCACATGCAAGGTAAGTGAGGGTGGTCAACAATGTTTTCAAGCATATAATATATAAGTGCTTTGTGTACAAACGTAGGGAATATAAGCCGTGATTGGAAAGTTTTGCTTTTATGCCCAAATTACTTTAGTCGTATTGTTAAGAATTTAAGTATTATATAAATACAGTATTGTATACCTATCGGGCAATGACGAGTCATAGATAGCTTACTATTGTCTACCGTGATTAAGTACTATCATGACCAATATAAATCAGGCATAAAAGAAGTCAAAATAACTATACTAAGGGACAATTACACTATCATATTTAAAGGATCATAATGTATGGACTTCAAGGTAGGGACGGATCATGATTTCATTAATTTAATTCTTAATTATAAAAGATATTGGGGTCACTAGTTTAATAGACTGTAAGAGATGTATATAGATAGTGTAATAATCCTTAATGCATGCTGAATATAGTAAAGTTGTTGTCTACGTGAGCAAAGTTCGAGTACTTTGACGGGATAAGGGAGACATTTATCAACAGAGGCGCACACCTACAGGGCACAGTTACCTCATCGCCATTACCGTCGACACCGCGTGGTACATTTGATTTTTTCTTTATCGATGCAAGAAGAGAGAAACATCAAAATGAAAATGATACACGAATTTAAATGATTAAAATACAGTCCATATTTTTATGATTGTGCAGAATTGTGACGTGTGAATGCATTTTCATGTTATTTACAATTAGAATAATGCAATTAACAAGTAAATATTCAATATAAAAAATATTTTAAATCATGTCAATTAATATTTAGAGGTGTATGTAATTTTAATTGACATCCTTTTAATGTAATTTAATAGACATCCTTTATGTCGTATTTTTCTGTAGTATTTTTTATCTAATTAATTATTACACCTCGAGATATTAAAAAAAATTACAGTGAATATTAATATATAAATAAGTAATCCATATATTTCTCCATTTTAGAAAATGGCCATGACAGAAGCAAGGATAATGAATTAAATATGAGTAAAATTGAAAGTGAATAAAAAAAATATATGTTTATATTGAACGAATTGTATTATCAAATGTGGTAGAATTATAATATTATATTTACAGACATAAGTTTCATTTATTAATGTAAATTTATTAAGTATTATAGGTATTCTCTATGAGTATCCAGATCACTGAATTGATTATATTAATATGAAGATATTATATCTGTATTACAGTAATATAGATACCTGTATACACATTATACCTTTATTCATTAATATTATAAAGAAAAGTTTGATAACATTATCCGCAGATTTGAAAAATCGATTTGGTAGTTTGCTTTGCAATTTTATTTTATTATTTACAATAAGCACTCGAGATTACCGACGGCAAAGCGTGCAACGAATGTTAGTGTCTATGTACATAGTCAAAGATGTCTTTAAATAATTCAGTAATATTGATCAATGATATTTTGAATGATAGAGCATCTCCCTAGAAATGTTTGCCAAAAGCTTTTAAATATATTCAATTTAATGAATTTTATAACAAGTGACTTTTATTACACAAATTATTATTATTCCTTTAATTGATGATATGGAATAAATAAAAAACCCTCTTTTTATTTATTTATATATTGTATATATTGGTTTGCGTAAATGAGGCCCTGTGTTCGATTTTCGGTTAGGCCAATTTAAAAAACTGACATTTATAAACTGGCTTGGGTCTGGGTATTTTGGGATGTGTTCCCTAGATCGAGATTTAGGCAATCGATGTGATTGTGAGGCACTTTATTATTACTATTATATTGTTGGTATTATAAACAAAATAACATTTATGGAACATTCTTTGATAGTTAACATGTTATTTAGTTGACCTAAGATCTATATGTTTCCTAATATTAGAAGTTTCTTCTCTTTTAGATATTTTTTCTACTTATAGTATTATATAATGTTTGTTTATATTTGTTTAATTTAGTATTGTCTAATTTTGTATGTCGTTTACTTGTATTTTATTTTGTGCAAATTCTAAAGGCTACCAAATTACTATTTAAGTATATAATTATGTATTATTTTAGCTGTTTGTTTGCCTTAAATAAATAAATAAATAATCTATGTTTTTACGTTAAAAATTGAAAATGGTTTACGTTTATTGTTTACTTATATAAATTGAATCGAAATTATACGACAAACTCGTTATCCCTTGTTCCTATGAGGATTTCTGGAAGTGCTTTTATAGTCGTTGTCTATATTCCACAAGGAAATAAACTTCAACTTCATAGATCAAATAGTTTTGAGATTCGATTAGTTAGGACAAAATGTATTGGTTGAATTTAAGTTGTCATAACTTTTAATGAACTGAAGCGATTTTGATGAATATATGTAATTAGTTCACTATGTCTTTTAAATTAGTTTAGTTGCTAGTTTCGTTATTACTTACGTTTCCTAGCAACAAATATACAGACAAAATGGTAAAAAATGTAGAAACACATTTTTTTGTGTTATTTTTTTAAGTAAGTATTTAGTGTAATAAATAATATAAGCGAAAAAATAAATAATATGTAAACCGAACATTTTTATTGTAAGTACTACGTGTATAACATCAAAATGCTGCTCTAAAAGTCTAAAAGACATCAATTATCGTTATTTAAATTCAGCCGTTGATGGATTCAATTCTGAAGACATTTTTATTCTAACCTAAACCTAATTCTAAAATTAATATTTAATAGTTCAGCGAAAGTGTTACAATAGTGGACTATAAAGAATTACATTTAATTAGTTCAGATCAAAATCGATTATGAATGTAATTTATAATCGTCCATGAAATAATTATTTTATCTATATGTATAAAATAATATGCTAAGCGACTGACTGATCTACATATCAATACACAGCCGAAACCACTGAACCTAAAATCCTAAAATTTTGCATATTATCTATTTATATAGATTAGGTAAACACAAAAATAAAAAGACTGATAATTCCACCTCGAAGTAGGTAAAACTTTCAAAATCCACTCATCTGAATTCTTGGGAAAAATAGTTATAATTTGATACTGAAATTTTTGTATCAGAGATGAAGATTAGAGATCGATCGCTAATGTCTTTGACTAACCTACCTGTCATTACTGTCATAATATTTTACCAATAACAGTGAGTAATAATATACTATAACGATTATATATTTGGCAGCTGTTGCAAGATACCCTTTCTCGTTCCTTTGATGGTATAACGTGATAAGAAGCGTGTTGATCGCCATTCTTAGAATACCACCAAAGCGCCCTTGAAATTCTTACCACGAGTTTTGCAATACATTTCTTCGAAATATGAATAATACTTTTTATGAATCGCCGTGTCAATTATTTTCAGGAATACGGATAAGTATCTACCGGAATTAGTTTACAAAATGACGTGGTCTTATATTATTTAATAATATTTTAAACGAGATTAGAATTATGCTCGTTAAAGACCTTTAAAGAAACCTTAAGAATTAGGTATGCGTGTTGTTATTTGCCCCAGTAATCGCATTTCAGATTTAACTTACCATGTAAAGGTACGAGTATAGACACTTGCTGCGTTTTATTTAATTTTCAATTTTATTATAAGACTCTTACCTATATAATATTATAACTTAGTAAAGATTTCTGGAATTCTGGATATATGTAACTATACTTAAACCGATATAAGGTTTAAATGAAATTTGGTATTATTTATCTGTATGAATGAAACTAGGGGATACTTCTAATATTATATAAATTATAATAATAGATTACAAACAGTGTTAATGTCTTTAAATATCTATATCTCCTACCAAAAAGTAGAAATAAGTGTTTCGTAAGATAGATTGAAATATATTTTGACCTTTTAAATCGAATTTTATATATATGTGTCAAGAAAAACAGCGTAAGTGCATATTTTTTTATTATCCTTAGAATATATTACATTTCAATTTTTCACTTTTGATCTTTGTTTGTTGAAATAATAAAGTGTACTTGGTGTAAGTATGTTTGTTTATATGGGCACAGCATAGTCCATAGATGCATTTTGTTAGGAAAATACCTATATATTCCACTAGTCCTCAATTTCTAGGTCACTGTGCTAGTGTACGTTTGAAGATTAAAATCGTGTTCAATTTCGGGTTACATGGTTATTTAGTTGAATTGTGGATAACAAAATTTAATATGTTCAATCTTTAGATAGGTAATTTATTCTCTTATGCACCTCTATCACATCTTTTCTTGTTATACTTTGTTTGCTTGAGTTATGAAAACTCTTTCTAGATTCCATATACTCGTATCTAAGCTTCTCCTGTACATTGACGAGTCAGTTTGTACTAATATTTTATTAATAGTTATTTTGAATTTTGTCACAATTGAAGTTTTTTTGTGAGACACAATCTTTAATCTGTGTAAGCTGTTAACAGTGTTTGAAGTATACAATCTTAGATACTAAAAGTAAATATAAGGATTTAATACAGCTTACTGTCTTGTCTCTAAGTACCTAATCTCTTCTAAGTCGTTTTTGCAACATGTATTACATAAAAATATGAGTATTGATGTTAGATTTCTGGGCTAGCTAAATAAATTTCTATTAATATTGCTTCTTCTATAGATTCTTCATTAGTGTCTGGAGTAAAGAATGTGAAATCAGTATTATATTATATGACATTCACGAAAAGTATTGGATGGAGTTACGTTTTTTTTAATATGTTATGAGCTTAATTTCTGAGGCTTTTTAATTCATGTACATGAATTTTAGACAATCCACTACTAGTAACATTAAATAATTATTCCTTTGATTCCTTTGCTACAAATGCATGGCATGCTAACCATACCATAGAATTCTGTACAGTTTTCTTATTAAATATAAATGATCTGCTATAATCCTGTCCTTTTGGATCTGCAGATGTTTGTACTACTATACAATAGGTATGGCTTTACCAACATGACATAACCTACAATCTACTAACATTCGACTATACAGTAAACTACGATGGATGATGGCGAGTTTCCTTTTTTATAAATTCCGTTTATTGGCAATTTGTTTGTTTTAACAATATTCAAATTGTGTCCTTTTCTTGTTTGTTTTATATGTTCTTATGTCAGACAATGTTTGAACATTCAAATTATTTCTAGGAATTTTTCGTTAGTTCGAGGCTTATTACTGACTCGGCGTAGGTCTTTTCAGTTGAGAGAATCTAAAACTTTCTGAAGAAAAATACTAATTTGGGTTTTAAAGTCGTAGCAGAATTCTTATGAATTCTTATTCTTATGATCTTAGAAGATTTCGGAAGAGTATTAATTTCATTAGATATACTCACAAAAGATTATCTTGATCTTTATGTGAAAATATCATAATTTTATAATATATCTGACCTTAACTTCAGAAGATAATAGAGTCCAAACCAAAGTCTCTGCAAATAATCTGCATTTTATTTAAAATGAAGAATACTCCATGCTGGAATAGCTTTTAAATTTCATATTGTGCTCTAGCCCGGTTATAGACGGCAAGGCTACGTATTTACATTTGAAATAGATAAGCATAATTATAAGTTAGCTGTAGATGCTCTACTTGGTCGAGGGTCAAGTAAGATAATATTAAATACATACATACTGTAAAATCTCGTATATCGTCATCGACGAAGAAGCCTGCCTTCATATGTTCAACACGAGATTTACATTAATCAATTTAGTATTTTGTTATTTTAATTTAACGGTATTTAATGGTAATTAAAATTTAATGATAACTCTGTATTTAATTTAAATTAACTTTGCATCATAATGCTAAACAATATATATATATATATATATATATATATATATATATATATATATATATATATATATATATATATATATATATATATATATATTCTTATATGCTGGAAAAATACATAATAATATCGAATAATTCATATTTATATCTCCAATTTTTGTACTATTTAAGTGATATTTACAGGACTATTATAATTTGTTTATACTTTGCACCGCCTCTAAAACTGTTTCTTCCATTGTTAACACATAAAAAACCAGTATTATGTGGTATATACTATTTTTACGCACACAATGAAGTTACAGCTATAAAAAATGTATTAACATTAATTCACCAACTTATTGCGTAACAAATGAAAATAGATATGTAGGTATATTTTTATATGGAAATATTTAAGTATATCAAAAGTTAACTTATTAATAATAATAATAATTTAAAAAGCAATATAGGCTATATTGCTTTTTATTAATTATATTAATTGAATGTTTAAAATAGGCTTTTGAAATGATGACAAAAGATATGTCAAATGTTATATAATATGATTATGTTAAATGTATACATACTTGTCAGGTGGTGCTGAGTGAGGTGGTGGTGCGCTCGGGGGCTTCAGACTTCTGAAGGCCTTCAACCATTTATTCTTCATACTGCCAGCTGATGAAGAGGACAGCTTTCTATCTACCGCTGCGGTACCGCTGTCCGCCTTTGTTGCGAAAAGTTCTCTCTGTGTAACAGAAGGAAGGTGTATAAAAATTTTGTGCATACTTTAATATTTTAAATGCGGTGGTGATTATAAGTTCTGCCTGATCGTAAGTGGTTACAGTAACTTATGTACACCTTTAAAACTATGGGCATTGATTGCACGTTTATGTCTCTAATATGTATAACCATTGCTTTATATTATTAGAATATAGACATATATTAAGTATATTACTAGGCTACTTATATATTAAATGTTATATAAGTTCAGATTAAGTATTATCGTTAATAATATTTATTATACACCTGTAATACATAGACCAAAGTTAAGTGTAGATTCTGGATATAATGGAATGAGTCTCAACTCAATTTTGTCAAAATGAATGTTAACAATTTAAAATTCTTCTAAAATTCTGATTGAAAACTGTAATACGAATCTTCTTTAATATTTTATGATTTTCTATAAACGTTTATAAACACAATATGTTTGTACATAATATGAGTGTACAATAAATATAATTTCATACTTTTTGTACACATAATTCTATCGAGAGTTACGCTACAATTTATTTGTACTATATTTCAGAATCTCTTGAACGTTTTGGAGTACTATTTAATCAACTGTAAAAGAAATATATATAAAGTGATGCATTTGCCAATTTTGAGTCGATTTTGGATGAGTATATCTTACAAAATACAAATTGTAAATTATAAGTAGGTATACAAAATGCCACCAAATTATATGACAAGCTGCATTATCATAGAAATGAATGATACCAAGCGTCAGCATAAACCGCTTAATAAGATATGAAAATCTAAGAGCTTCCTTGTCATTTTCAATATGCTTATAGTAAGGACCATTCCCTTGAAATGATTCAATTTTGAATATTGTATAGGAAAATTTGCAATTTAATTGACATCCAATTGAAATAAGGTGACGCCTTTATCAGACTTAATAGATTGAAAACATTCCAATACGGAAAATTTAATTAAAATCAACAGAGGTCATGAATTAAATTAATATACCTAAAAGCAATTATATTAATAGTTAAATACTTGAGCTTGGTTTGTTTAAATCTAATCGTTACTACTGGCAAATAAAAATGAGCTAGCTTATTATCTAAATAAATAATACTAATCCATCTAACAAAAATCTAGCCATGATTCTAAGAAAATACATGTTTTATCTCTGACATATATTATGTTGATGGAAAGGGTTCTAGATATGTACAAAAGCAATAAAAAAAACATGTTTCATAGGTGTATAACAATATGTATAAAATTTGTCATAACCGCTCTAATTACATGATGTCTAACTACATACATGTATTTTTTTTTTTTTTTTTTTTTTTACAACACAGGGGGCAAACGAGCATGCGGCTCACCTGATGGTAAGTGACTACCGCCGCCCATGGTCACCCACAACACCTACGGCATTGCAGGTGTGCTGCCGGCCTTTTAAAAAGGAATATGCTCTTTTCTTGAAGGTTATGTTGTCGTATCGGTTCGGAAATACTGCTGCTGGAAGTTGATTCCAAAGAGTGGTTGTGCGTGGAAGAAAGTGCCTTGAAAAACGCACGGTGGAGGACCGCCACTCGTCCAGATGGTTGGGATGAAATTTTAGTTTATGGCGGGTTGTACGATGGTGAAAATCTGCAGCAGGTATCAATCCGAACAATTCTTCAGAGCACTCCCCATGATAAATTCGGTAGAAGATGCACAGAGATGCAACATCTCTACGCAGTTTCAGTGGGTCGAGCCGGACAGTAAGACGCCGATCGTCAACAATTCGAGCTGCCCGACTTTGAATGCGGTCTAACGGAAGGAGTTGGTACTGTGGCGCTCCTGCCCACAGGTGAGAACAGTATTCCATGTGTGGCCTCACTTGAGCTTTATACAGTTTCAGGCGGTTTTCTGGCGTGAAATACCGTCTCACCCTATTGAGCACCCCCAACTTTTTGGAAGCTATCTTAGCTTTTTCCTCCAGATGACCGCAAAACTGGACGTCGCTAGATATATCGACGCCAAGAATCCCCAGACTCGACTTATTATCAAGGGAAGTGCCCTGAAAGTGAGGTGATACGACAAACGGTGTCTTTTTTGCGGTGAACGCGCAGACTTGTGTCTTCTTAGGGTTAAAGTGAACAAGATTGCGTTCACCCCAGATCGAAACTTTATCGAGTGAAGTTTCGATTTCAGACACAAGTCTGTTCCGGAGCTCATCGGTATGTGCCCGCGAGATCTTTGCATGACCGGTGTATAATGCATCTCCTGTACTGTCGTCCGCATAACAATGAATATCACTGATCTGTAAAATATCATTGATATGCAGAAGAAACAGTGTCGGAGATAGTACACAGCCTTGCGGGACACCAGCATTCACAGGTTTTAAGTCAGAGCATGCTCCGTCGACTACGACCTTAATGCTACGTTCCTTAAGAAAGCTGGCGACCCAACTGCACAATCTCGCAGGCAACCCAAACGAAGGTAGTTTTGAGATTAGTGCCCTATGCCACACCCGATCAAAGGCTTTCGCAATATCCAGACTAACAGCTAAGGCCTCTCCCTTATTCTCGATTGCCACTGCCCATCGGTGTGTTAAATAAACTAAAAGATCACCAGCCGAGCGTCCCCGTCGAAAGCCGTACTGGCGGTCTGAGATCAGCTGGCGATCCTCTAGGTACCGGAGCAGTTGATGGTTAATAACTGATTCCATGACTTTCGAGAATAAGGAAGTGATAGCTATGGGCCTATAGTTAGCTGGATCTGAGCGGTCTCCTTTTTTAGGGATCGGATGCACCAGAGCAGTCTTCCAAAACTTTGGGACTATACCTGATGAGTAACAGAGCCGAAAAAGACGCGTAAGAACCGGAGCCAACTCTGGTGCGCACGTCCTAAGCACAATTGGAGGAATGCCATCGGGCCCGCTCGACTTATGGATTTCAAGGGAGAGAAGTGCTCTACGCACTGATCTTAGCGTGAATTTAACATCCGGCATAGAGCTCCTACAACGCGGGATGGTCGGCGGTAGTTTCTCCCCGTCATCCAACGTCGAGTTTGATGCAAAGAGAGATCCAAGGAGATCGGCCTTCTCTTTGGCGTTCAGAGCCAACGAGTTATCCTCCCTGCGCAATGGTGGAAAAGATGACTGACAGAAATTCCCTTGTGCAGCTTTGGCAAGAGACCAGAAAGCTCGAGATCCCGAAGGTAAACTAGCCAATCTCTTGCCAATTCTACCAATATGCTCTGACTTCGCTGTGGCCAAAACTCTTTTGAAGGACCTAGAGGCAAAGTTATACTTCTTTTTAAGGGCACTGATGTTAGAATCTCGCGATGCCACACCTTTGGCCCAGGCTAGGAAGCACTCCTGTTTCAGGCGAGATGCTATTCTACAAGAGGCTCCATACCAGGGCTGGGATTTCCCACCGACAGGTACCACAGAGTTAGGAATAAATAATTCCATTCCCTGGAGCACCACATCGGCGATGGAATCGGCGATGGCGTTGGGATCCCCCAGTGCGAAGCAAACCTGCCTCCATGGGTAAGATGCGAAAAAAATCCGCATCTCATCCCAGTCTGCCGACCTGTAGTGCCAAACACGACGTCTACCCGTAGAACGTGGTGGAATCGGACTCATGAGAGGCACCTCGCTCCGCACCAGACAGTGATCCGACGATTCAAGCGGAGCTTCGACGGAAATCACATAGTTGTCTGGGTGGGTGGTCAGCAGAAGGTCCAGCAGTGAAGGTGAATGGTCCAACACATCAGGTATTCGCGTGGGCGAGGAAACAAGCTGCGTCAGACCATAAGCCAAAGCAAAGTCATGAACAGATCTTCCCGCATAGTCGGTTGTACGTGAACCAAGCCATTCGGTATGGTGGGCATTAAAATCGCCAAGAATCACGACTTCAGCGGAAGGAATCTGTTCGAGCAGGGAATCTGTAGCCATTTGGACGTGCTCAATGAGTTGGTCGGTTTCGATGTTCGATGTGTTGTATTATATGATATGTACCAACAAAACCGTTTTTCTTTTCTTTTTTTTTTTATAATAGCGCGAGATATGATTACATCATCTTGAACAATTTGGTGAAAACACGGTATTATTAAATGAACCATCACTTCCATTTACGCTTTCTCATTATCTCATTAAGGTATGATACCCTACTTGCATTTTGTTTCAAAAATTACTATGTCCACGATTGAATGCCATGTTAGGTAGACTTTGGTATTTAACTTAACCAATCATATAATACTCCACCATTAGTTTCTATTGTAAGCAATAAATTATGATATTTATCATAATATATATAGAGCGTGCGTGTATGTCTTTGGGTTGGGAAAATACTACGAAACTAAACGCCTAATTTATTTATTCGTGCACGCTAATTGATTACCGTGAGGTTATATTTCTCGAATAAAGTTTAATGGCCGGATGAGATAAGTGAAAATGTAAGGAAAAGCGAAATGTAAGGGAAATTGAATAATATGATTACATTTTGAGGAAATAAATTAATTTTAATAAATTAAGTTAAAAAGTACAAAACTGATATACTTTTTATTTTATGTTATCATTCGTTTTAATTCCCAGGATGCTTTTTCCCATTTACAAAGAAAATCAATTCTCACATTATTATGGCCATGAGCAGTCCATCACGCGGAATTGATTAATGAGGACTTTTTAATTATTTATTCAGAAATATTGAAAATTGTTCAACATTTATTAAAATTAACGGATGACAGACTACACTTTGGTATGTTTCGGTATGAATGCTCTTAATAGCTAAACGGATTTAAACGAAATCTGATACACAGATAGACCATGTATAAAATTCATGAAAATATTTTTATTCCAAAGGTAAAAGGAAAAGCTTCGGCATACGGTTAGTAATATAAATATCCCTTATCTATATATTAATTTAAAATTTATTAACCAATAAGAAGTGGTACAAAAGATAGACCTAATGCCATAAGCATTCTCTACCAGTTATCCTTTAGAATGTGCAAAGATACTGAATGGCGGTTTAAAAAATAAAAATGCACATAGTTAACAAAATTAGTATCCGAACTTACAAAAAATGCCTATTATTTTTGAAAAAACTAAATCAATCGCCTACAGGTTTATACTGTCTGCAATACGTAATCACTAGTTTTATCTACTGATAGGTAATACTAATAATAGTAAGATAAAAATACTCCCTATTACTTTTCATATATGTTTTTAAATGCTACCAAAATAGATGGATATCAAATGATTTTCTTTTATTTATAATCCGCGCGACAAAATCCTGATAAATGATGAAAAATCCATTTGTCTATTTCATCGGTTTTTATAGTCGAATAATTGAACAATTTTTAATTGAAGAAAATAAGGTATGAAACTATGAAAATAAGAAGTTACATCCTTATTAGTTTTATAAATATGAAAGTGATTTTGTTTGTTTATCTTATAACGCCTTAACGGCCTAATCAATTACTTTTTACAAATACAAATCCACTTTTGCATTTATACTAGTTGTATCTTACGGCTTTGCTCGTGTGACTATATAATTATACGTGAAATATAACCTAACCCCGTATCAAATTTTATTTAAATTCGTTCAGTAGCTTTTGCGTGCTAGAGTAGGTAACAAATATCTATCCTCACAATTTTTTGTGTTTATAATAAGCAGTAGTAATAAATAGTAAATTAGAATTAGTTTCTAACTAGCAGTTGCGAATAAATTATATATATGATAATATGTTGAAAAAGTAATAGTTTCATGCCTGTTCTTCATATTTGAAATTGCATTCCGAATGGTAGAATCATAGAAAAATAACTATTAAAAATGCTTGTTTACTTATATATATAAATATAATAGCACACAATAATTACAAAGAGGACCTTCAACATATGCCTAATTGTCATTGTAATGTATGGGAGGGAAAAAAGTTTGAGTCCCTCGAGTGTACCTTTGCGAGTAGGCTATTAGCTAAACGGGAGACAGTCGTACCAGAAAATCCTAGTTAATAAAATTAAACGTGAAAGATAATACTTTATCATTTTCATTACCATGTTCGTAAAATGATAAGGAAGGAGTTATTAATAATATCTATTCAATGTTTCTGTATTACTAAATAGCTACTTAATTATAAACGATTTTTAAAAGTGAGAGGTTCTAATATTGTTTGTACATTTTTGTGTCTATTGAAACAGTTTAGAAATGAAACAATATTTTATACCGTTGTAACTTTATTTTTCTAGAGCAATTTACTTACTTACCAATAATATTACATATTATACGATTTTCATGCAAAATCATTACCGGACAGCGATAACATAAA